ACCGCAGTACTCTTCTTCCTCGCGAGCTCATGGAGCCGCTGGATCGCGAACAGCATGTGTCTCCCTCTAAACTTCTCGCCAACCCCTCCCTCTCAGTGCCCCCGATGTCATGTTGCGTGTAGCTGGAATGTTTGTCCGATTCGCATGCGTTCCTCTGTGTACGGCCGTGATGAGAACCTGGCTGGCGAGAACCTCTAATAACATTGAGTAGTCTATCCCGGCAATGAAGTATGGGATAGAGGGTGGTCAATTTCTCGCTTTCTTGATTGCTGTCGGAGGCGAAGCGGGGTATGCAGATATCGCCGGTGGAGTGATCGTACAGCCACGTACGTCCTATGTTTTGTGTGTGCACGTGTGGTGTGGGGAATGGCTCTTGGCGATGTAACCTCGGCCCCGTCCTAGTAGACGAATTAGGGGATGCCCACTTCTCGTTTGTCCTGGCCGATCGACAACCTTTGATTCTTCTTGGTATTATGATTTTGATTTGGTTGGTATCGCTACCGGAACCGGAGCACCGTAGCGTATTATAGGACCCTGGTGGCATTAGTCTAGATCTTTCCAGGATTTTTTTCGACGTGGTGCATGCGTGGGCAGAACCAACCAATTGGTCTAATCAAGTTAGGATGCCGACTACCTTTCCACATATAACTTTTCTTTGGGGGGTTATGTAGTAGATCCCGCCCTTATTCTCCCTCCGGAAGGCCTACTACAGGGTATCCATACAAGCTAACAACAACGACAAGCTGCCGTAAATAAACAATGGCGAGCGGCGCGTGCGAACCCGCATTCCATCCCAAAACGGTACCTCAACCGTCGAAAACGTCATCGCGAACGCCAGACCAAACATCCAGAGGTGCCCCAGCCACCACTAGACTACAAAAGAGGAGCTACCCACCGCTTACACCAACAGGAAGACGAAAGTGTTCCACTCTAGGTACACTCTCGCACTTCCCGGACGTGTGCATGTACAGATCACCTTATTCATGACAAGTTGGAATATTATTGGTTCTGATGCCACAAACCCAGTCCTGACCATCGTTTAACCGTTGTTGCTTGTTTCCAGATTCTGACACGAGTTTGATGTGAAGAAAAAAATCAACAAACAACTTTCCAGGGTTTTTGCTGGAACAGCTCTCTTTGGCGCAGTTATTTTTTTCCAGCTTCGGAACCCCCACGATTTTCACCGCCTGGCGTTGTTACACCATGGCATACACAGCAGCTTTAGACACACACGACGTGCCCAACGCCGGACAACCTACGACCCCCTGCAGAGAGACAGATTTGAGGATTGAGGTCGCTGCCCGTTGTTGCGGCAGACGCGAGAACCACAAGCCACCTACTTGCTTCTGCGTGGCGGAAGTTGCAGATATAGACTACTACATTACCCCGGCTCACATACAGAGGCGAGGAGGCCGGCGTTGTGTGGAAGCCGACCACGCAGTCTGACAACCAACGTAGAACGGTGAGGAGTTGCATTTTTGTAGACGAAGCATACGATCTGATCCAATCACCCCAGCCCGGTGATAAAGGTGTGTGTGCCTCGGTGTGTCTGTGTGTGCGAACCAGCAGAGCTTCCTCCGAAAACTAAACGCCCTGCTGCTGCTGATGCATTTTTTCTTGCTCCGTCGGAGCTATCACATCTGCTGTGCTGTGCCAGTTCAGACCACCATCTGTATGGAATGATAACCACAACGCCGCCAACACAACCTAACCATGGCGTATGTGGTATACAGTTGGCGCCCGCAGTTGAGAAACGCTTATAACAGGTCCAGCCTCGAGTTCTTATTGTGGGCTATCCCGCTCGGTCACCTAAAGCCTTGTGTCTACAATAGACCGCGGTAACCTCTACAGCAAAACCCCGTTTCGTCTCACAGAACAAGTGTACTCCACTACGTCACCACACCTCTCTTCTGGTAACCCTTTCCTCCTCAGAAACTTCCCCGCTATTTCTTGTTTGCTTGCCACTGTACGATTCAGCCCCGCGCCACAAACCCCAGATTTCCTTCGTTCAATCTTACACATGTCGCTCAGTTTCTTATTTCAAGTTTCTTATTTTTTCGTGCAGCCAAATCCTGCTGAATTTCTTAAATCGGCAATTTTTTATTTCTCTGGTTGATTCGACCCCCGTACTCAACCCCGATTCTCACTACCGACGGCTGCACGTAAGGCCACTCCCTAGAAGCGAAAGGTATCCAGCGGCAACGTCTCACTATCGCTATTAGGTCCTGTACCCCCCTCATGAGTGAGGGCTGAAACTAAACAAATGCATCAACACCGTATGATGCCCCACCCGCACGCTGACGTGCCAACAAAGNCCACTCCCTAGAAGCGAAAGGTATCCAGCGGCAACGTCTCACTATCGCTATTAGGTCCTGTACCCCCCTCATGAGTGAGGGCTGAAACTAAACAAATGCATCAACACCGTATGATGCCCCACCCGCACGCTGACGTGCCAACAAAGAAAACTACCCCGTCATGATGTTGCAAGCTCCGTGAGGCGAACATTGGGGGTTGTCACCCTTTTGCGCCTCCCGCTCCCTTCCTTTGGGTCTACCTCTAGGAGAACCCACGCCCCAATTGCGGCGTCTTCATCCGTGCTGTACGACTCCAACGGCATCTTCATGCTACGCGTACTATCGTCACAGTGCAGAATAACGCGGTAGTCGTACTCCTGCCGCGAAGCGGGGTGAGATCTGCGACTAATTACCCCTCCGAACCAACCCAACCCGAGTTTCACGAGAACCCCAAGCTTCACTATGGGAGGGGGGGGTCGGGGGAGAGGGGGAAAGAGCGAGAGAGCTGTGGGGNTCGTACTCCTGCCGCGAAGCGGGGTGAGATCTGCGACTAATTACCCCTCCGAACCAACCCAACCCGAGTTTCACGAGAACCCCAAGCTTCACTATCGACTGATCGAGGGCCGGTGGTGGAGACGCCTGGAGTCGAAACCCGTCCGGGATGTCCATCTTAAGCGTTTCTTCCTCAGGCGACAGCTCGTCATCGTCGTCGAGCTGGGTCAACGGGTCCTTATCGTTGTCATCGTCTCCTGACAAGGCACAGCGGAGGCATCGTCTATTGTTGTGGCGATTCCCGAAGCGGGGACAATATTCCAACACTCATTATTGTGTCAACAAGACGAGCTTTCTTCCGCAAGGATAATTATTCTGTGCTCCGAATGAACGCGAAATACAGTATCACTTACCGTCGCTCTCATTATCGCTGGAAGAGGCGTCCTCCGACAGCTGGTCCACGTCAAAATTGCCGGTGTCGCCATCCTTCTTGCCCTCCTCATCAGCGCTGGCGCCATCCTCCACATCCATGAAGGAATATGTGGAAAGGCCCTCGAGGTTGATTTTGTCGTCCCCAGAGCCATCCGCCGTCATTCCACATCCGGTTTTCTCGAAGAGACGGAACCGATATTGCTCATCTTCATCGATCCCCTCGGTCGCCTGTGCCACCCAACTGGTAAGCAACAAGCGACGTTCGGAACACGTCAGTGCTTTGGCCTCCCACTTTTGCAGGTTGACTCCGCTCTCCAGCCACTTGTCCAGCTGCACCTGCACAGCCACCTTTAGCCGCCGTCCATAGCCGGCGTCGATCGGCTGGACCTCGTCCGTACAGCCTGCCGGCAGGTGCCAAAGAAGCGTGTTGCACTCCTTGTGGAGATACTTGCGGAATTCCTCAGTCGTCTGCCCGTGCAGGTTATCGGCGAGAAGAAGCGACTGCTCCTCGGGCACCTTCCCGTCTACCATTCGGCTCGGGCGAAAAGAGCGCTCCAGCCATTGCATGCAGAAGTCGCTGTCGGCCCAGGCCGTGGGCTGGAAGAAGACATCTACGCGCTTGTCGTATGCTGCCTTCACCTTGGTGATGCCGGTTCCTTTGCCGCGGAAGATGATCGCGCACCTCGTCTTTTTACCGCCTCCTCCTATCGTCGGTTGCACCGTGCACTGCCGCTTCTCCAAGCCGGGGAATGGCTGGCCAACATGCACCCGCTTCGCCCCTCTTTTGTCCCAGGTGTCTTCCTGTCCGGTCACGAACCCCAACGGTACCTGGTCGGTGTTGTCCCTCAGCTCCTTCACGAAGCGCCCCCACTTGCCGTAGGGTCCTTCGTAGGGGATCAGCGCCCCTGGTTGCTCGACGGATCCTCCGTCCGAGACAGGTGCTTGTGGCTCCCACGGGATCACCTTCCCTCCATGTACACGAGGCTGTTGCAGGAGCTTTTGGAACTCCCTGTGCCATTTCCGGGTCTTCGGCAGTCTCTCCTCCACAGACTTGTTCTTGGAGTTAGACCGCCGCCGCTTAGACAGCGAGTGCCTCGTCGCCCACTTTTGCGCGAACCGGAAGGACGGCCGGAATGCCTTTGCTCGTGGATCTTGCGGGTACCTTTCCATGATAAGCTTTTTGAAAGTGACCGTGATCCACCTTGTCGAGACCCGCAGCTCCCTCTTGCGTCGTGCCAGCAACATCTTGTACAGCTCCTTCTCCGCGTCAGGGAACCACAGCCGCCGTCGAGTGCATGTCGCCATCAGACTACTCCGCACCTTGTCAGCTGCCTGCTGCACGAGAGAGTCTTCATCCTTCTGCCATTTGCTGATATTGCTGGCCGAGATCCCTGACTTATGTTCCAAGTAAAAGAGAGGGGTCATACCGAAGTGCGCACGAACCTCCGTTGACCGCGACTCTAGATCTCGCAGCTCCATAATAACACCGACCTTCTCGCGCGAGGTGTACCGTCTCCTCGAGGCTGCTCCACACGTTTTCTTTGGTGGCGGCTCCGTTTGTGAAAAGCTGTCGTTCACGAGGTTGTTGTTCCGCTCGGCTCCAGGGCGTAAAGGCTGCAGCACAAACGTCACGGACCCTGGCGGACATGTCGCGCCGCATC